CTGGGGGGGGGTCCCGCGGGTGGGGGGGGTCTCCGGGAAAACACGACGCTCACCTGGCGCGTGGACGAAGTAAGCCAGGTAGAGGTCGAGCTCCTTGATGGTGACGCCGATGTGGTGGGGCTGCACGCAGAGGCCGGGGCTGGCGCACTGCGGCGCCTTGGCCAGGCGCTCGCCGTCCGTGCTCTCCAGCGGGACGCCCTTGAAGAGGATGACCATCACCAGGTCCAGGCGCCACACCTTGTCGGCCTGGCGCAGGCAGTCGATGCGGCGGATCTTGCCCTTCTGGTCGGGGTTGGAGAGCACGCAGCACGGCGCCTTCTTGCCGGTGACGGACAGCACGAAGTCCTCGCGGCACTCGGGCCGGATGTCCTTGCGCAGCTTGGCCAGGAGGCGCGAGGCCCATTTCTGCTTGACCTCCGGCTTCTCGCCCAGCAGCTCGTCCTTGACGGCGCGCTCCTCCTCCTTGGACATCCGCTTCTCGTGCTTCTTGAAGTACTTGCGCTTGCGGGCCTGGAGGTTGAACCAGGTGTAGGAGAAGGCCCGGACGTGCGGCAGCAGCGCCTCGATGAAGGGGTGGAACTCATCCTGCACGGGAGGGCACGGCAACGGGCTGGGCTGGGCCGGCGGGCACCGGGGATGTGCCCCGCGCCGGGCCCGGCACCGTCGGCGTGCCCCGGGAATGAGGGGTGCGGCCCCCGGGGGGATCCCGGCAGTCGCGGCCCCGCGGGGTTCCCGGTGCCCGGGGCGCTCCGGGGAAGAGGCGGCTCCCGGTGCCGCGGGGCTCCGGTGCGGCCGGAGCGGGGACGGCTGAGCCTGGGCCAGTGCTGTCCCTGTCCCCGGTGCCACCACAGCCCCGTCCCCGGTACCGGCACAGCCCAGTCCCCGGTGCCACCACAGCCCCGTCCCCGGTGCCACCGCAGCCCCGTCCCCGGTACCGGCACAGCCCCATCCCCGGTGCCACCACAGCCCCGTCCCCAGTGCCACCGCAGCCCCGTTCCCGGTACTGGCACAGTCTCATCCCCGGTGCCACCACAGCCTCATCCCCCGTGTCACCACAGCCCGGTCCCCGCTGTCACCACAGCCCCGTTCCCGGTGTCACCGCAGCTCCATCCCCGGTGCCACCACAGCCCGGTCTCGGGCACTGCCTCAGCCCGGTCCCCGGTGTCACCGCAGCCCGGTCCCCCGTGTCACCGCAGCCCCGTCCCTCCCCGCTCGTCCCCGTCCGCCTCCCGGTGATGCTCCCGCCGCCGTCGGGGCTCGGCTGCCCCGCTCCCCATCCCCGGCGCCGTTCCCTGCTGCCGACCCCGCACCGGTGCCACCGATCTCGGTCCCCGGCAGTCCCCGGTGCCACCTCCGTCCCCTCCCTCCACCGGCAGCGCCGCCGCTCCGCGTCCCTTCTCCCCGCTCCCGGTGCCGCCGGTCCCCGGCCCCTTCCCGGCCGCTGTCGCGGTCCCCGGTGTCCCCGGTGCCGGTCCCCGCTCCCGGCCCGCCCGGTCCGTACCATCGCGGCGGCGCATCCCGGCCGTGGGCAGCTGCCAGTCGGGCCCCGGCGGGGCAGAACCGGGGGCGACAGACGGGGACGGGGGGCGCAAACGGACTGGGGGGGAAGGGGTTAACGGGGACTACCGGCAAGGGGGCGGCGGGTCCGGGGGTCCGGACCGTGCGGGGCGGAACGCTCAGGTGCCGGGGGTCCCGGTGACGGCGGGATGGAGCAGCGGGGTCGCGGCTGGCGGGACAGCGCAGCCGCCGCGGGGTCCCGGTTACCGGCGGTGGGGGGGTCCCGGTGCGGGGGGGTCCCTGCCGGTGAGCGTGTGCGTGTGCGGGCAGGGGTCCCG